AACTGATCTTCTGTAAAAAAAAAATAAGAAGAAATGATCAATTCCCAACTTGACTCTCACTGGGACTAAGCATGACAATAGGTCTGATCTGATTTCATCATCATTTAAAAAATCATCTATTATTTTTCACTTTATGTTTCTGTGTGGGAGCAAACTGTTGAAATCTTTACTTAATGTATGCTAAACTGATCTTCTGTATATAAAGAGAATCGAAAATGAATCTTGATGTGATTGGAAAGGGAGAGGGAGTGGGAAAGGGGAGGGTTGCGGGTGGGAGGCACATTATGGGGGGGAAGCCATTGTAATCCATAAGCCGTACTTTGGAAATTTATATTCATTAAATAAAAGTTAAAAAAATAGAACATGATTAAAAAGCAAAACAAAACAAAACAAAACTTTAACTTCTGATTCATTACATTTAATTTTTTCATGTACATTGAAAACTGGGTCAAGGTTATAACTATATCTCTATCTATAGATGGATATATAAGCACATAAATATATAGATAGATGTATCAACACAGAAAATTGACTCAGTACTATTTAACTAAAAATTTCCCTTTACTTTCCAAATGTCCTTTTTGATTAACAAAATGATTTTAATATAGCCCAGTGTATTAACACCTTCTGTTTATAGCTCATTTTGAAAAGTAATGGCAAACTTAATGTCACAAAGATATTATCCTATGATGTTTTAAAGTAAATTTATTTTTGATTATATTCTATTTAGTTTTTATTTTAATTAGTTTTGAACAGATTTAATGTGATTTGTAGATACAAGTCTATGAATGTAATTATATTCCTTTCTTCCCTCCTCTTTTCTCCCTTCTACATGCCTTCATTCTCTCTGTTTTCTTTTCTTTTAGTTTTTGAGACAACCTATTTTAAATATGCATTACAGTAAGAAGGCTTAATACTTCATGAATAAGAAGTGCAAAGCAAAGTAAAGCAAAAAAGTAAAATGGAGCCTAGTGGTGATATAGACAATGGTTATTAACAATATACTTGAATGTAAAAGTGACCATTTCACCCATATATAGTAAATTTTAATTCATTTAAGAACTCTGTTGAAGTTCTTTGCCCTTTTCTCAACTGGATTCTGTTCGTTGTTATTGTTGCATTTTTAAAGGTGTTGATATATACAGGACATCAATCCTTTGTCAGGTAGATTGCAAACATTTTTTTCCCCATTCTGTTTGCTGTCTCTTCACTCTACTGTTTCCTTTGCTGTGCAAAAGCTTCTGAGTTTGAAATTGTCTCATTTATTTAGTTTTGCTTTTGTTGTCTGTGATTTGGGGTTCTTGTCCATGAAGTGGTCTCCTACACCAATGTCTTGGAGTGTTTCCTTTGCATTTCTTAACAGCATCTTCTTTGTGCCATATCTTAAATTTCGGTAATTGTTCCATCTTGAGTTGATTTTTGTATATAATGATGAGTCTAATATCATTCTTCTATATATACATATCCAGTTTTTCCTGCACCATTTGTTGAAGATATTACCTTTACTCCATTGTATGATCTGAGCATTTTTGTCAAAAATCAGTTGGCTGTAATGTATGTGGATTAGTTTCTGGGCTCTCTGCTCTGTTCCACTGATTTATTTATCAGTTTTTATGCCAGTACCATGCTGTTTTAATTACTATAGCTTTGTAGTATGATTTGAAGTCAGGTATTATGATGTCTCCAGCTTGATTTTTCTTGTTCAAGATCACTTTGTCTGTTCTGGGTCTACTGTGATTCCATATGCATTTTAGAATTGCTTTTACTAATTCTGTAAAGAAAGTCATTGGTATCTTGATAGGTATTGCATTGAGTCTGCAGACTGCTTTAGGTAGTACAGAAATTTTAATGATATTGATTCTTCCTATCCATGAGCAAGAACATCTTTCCATATTTTGTGTCCTTGGTGATTTCTTTCATCATCGTTTGATAATTTTCATTGTAGACATCTTTCACTTCTTTGGTTAAATTTATTCCTAAATATTTTGATTTTTGTGTGGCTATTATGAATGGGATTTCTTTTTTTATTTCTGTAAGTTCATCATTAGCATACAAAAAAGATACTATTGTTTTTATGTTTATTTTTTAACCTGCAACTTTACTGAATTGGTTTATCAATTCAGATTTTGGTGGAGAGTTTACGTTTTTCCATGTACAACATTATATCATCTGCAAACACGGATAATATGACTTCCGCTTTATTTAGTGGAGGCTTAAGCCTAAGATTATAAAATAAAATGAAAGTATATCATTTTCAACATTAAAAGAAAGAATCAGAAAGGAGAAAAGAGAGTAGGTGGGAGTGTGGGCAGGAGAGATGGTAGGGTGGGAAGTATCACTATGCTCCTAACCCTGTATGTATGAAACATATGACATTTGTTCACCTTATAGATGTTAAAAAATTGAAAATTAAAAAATCAAAAAAGAAATAAAGGAAGTCATACATTTGCTAAGACAAACATCTTGTTGCTGAACCAAGATGATAAAAGGTTTCATTACAAGGTGCTTAATAAGATTCAAAATTTCCATCTTATTTTCCTGTGATTTGCTGTTCTTTTATTATGCAGGTGATAGACCAAGTAATTGGGCCTCTGCCATCCTTGTTCGAGACCAGGATGGAGTTCCTGGTTCCTGGTTTTAGCCTGGCCCACTCCTCCTTATTGGGAATATTTGGGGAGTGAGGCAGTAGTTGGAAGAATATTATCTCCATCTCACCTCTTTCTGTCACTCTGCCTTTCAAATAAATAAATAAATAATCCTTTTAAAAAAATGAAAAAAAAGAGATCCTACACCTCTAAAAAGTAAGCATCCCTACCTGCATGTTAGAGGCAAGCTAATCAAGCAATGTTTTTAGGAAGCAATATTTGATACTTAGATCTAAATAAGAAATAGTCTACAAAAGTTGCATAAATAGCGTAAGTCAAGTCCAGGACAGGAGCAATAAATGCCCTAACCTATATTTTTTTTCTAATTTGAATATGGGAGAATTATAAAGTAGAAAGCTAGAAAGAGACAGAGAAAGTAAGAAGGGTGAGAAGGAGTTTCTAAAGGTTATACCCTTTCCACCATTTGAGGATGATTGATTTTGAGGTTGATCTACAGGTTCATCCATGGCATTTAGCCTTCTAAAGTCAATTCTGTTCAGCACGACACATTAAAATTCAATACAAATTGAGTAAATGCATGGTTTTATATGTAAATGGTTAATTGGTTGTCATGTAGCATTTTTTACATCACTCATTCCATATTTAGAATTTGTATTCTTCATATAAGCCAGTGCATGTTCAGTTATGACTCTCAGCCACGACTTCACTCACAGAGAAAGAGACAGAAAACAACCATTCATAGGGCTCTGGGACTTGTCTCTATTCTGGTAGGAAGTTCTATCTGAGCAATTAGTTGCTCAGTGAGTCACAGCTTCTCGAAGTGACCAGGTCATATTTGATGGAGGAATAGACTTAAAGGGTAATACATTGTGTAATCAGAACCCCACAAAAGGAGTGCTTTAGCATTAACTGTGTCAGGAGGAGACTTGAGTGGATGCAAAATGATTCACAATGAGAATTAAGATGACAATCCATCCAAAGGAAGGCATTATCTGTTTTCTCCACATTCTGGTCAGCCCACTGGTGGTTACATGATCCCAGCAGGGAAGCACAAAAAACTGATTTGTGAATTATTCAAATGATCATAGTTTAATTCCAAAAGCAGAAAATTAGCTTGACTAAGTGGTTGTCAGTTGGAAAGGATAGAATCATATAATACTAGGTTTTCATATTTATTAGCCAGTTGTAAGCAGTAATTCTAGCAAAATCCAACTCAGAAAAATAATTTAAACATTTAAACCCATCATTAATATATACTTCATTCTCTTAAATTGTATTATTGTATAATTATCATGGATATTATGGGAAATCAAAAGCTCAAGGTAAGCATGAAGAATAAAATAAAAAGTATTCATAAACCAGCTGTCAAAAAATAAGCTCTATAAAGTTTGATACCCAAAATTATATATATTTTATTTCTACAGTTTTTTCTTTCCAAATGGAGTTATACAAAACTGCAATTTTTAAAAACTATGAACATATTTAAACTTCAGCAAATAGATTTATATAACGCCATTTAAATAGCTTTATCATATTCCATTGTACCTATTAATAGAAACTTATTTTGAAATTTTCCCAATATTATGAACAATTCTGTGATAAACATTCTTATATCTCCACACAAATCTCCAATTTTATCCTTAGAAGAAATTCAAAGGACATAATTATTCATTCAAAAGGTATAGAGCATACTTTTTCCTTAAGATTTCAGCTAATTAATACTTTTCATCTTCATCCTTTGTCCCATACTGACTGTGCCTTCCACTTATGTCATGAGTTCATATGAAGTAACTAAAAGCTGATAAATTTAGGCTAACCTCTTGAAATTTTCTTATCAGATTATTAATAACCTTGGTTAATTTACTTCCGATATTCATCTTCCCTCTCTTCCAAGTTGATGAAATCATCCCTATTTTAATTGCTGCTGAAATAACCAGTGCTTGTGATAGTATTTGCATAGAAAGAGCTTTTGAAAAGAACCTGAAAAAGTCTTACTCATCGCTGGACAACAAATGACTTGTGACTCACATTTGTAAGACTATCACATGAATCTGAAGTTTCTATTTGACATATTAACACAATGCTCACGCAGGACCAATGCATACCTGAATTTCTGGCAGAAAAAGACTGTAAAATTTTCAGTACAGACACATGAATGCATGTATCAGCCATAGAAAAAAATATAACTCTATGGAAAGTGATATTTCAAATAATATAAACCAAAATTTACAGGGTTATAACCAACCACTGTTTAATAATCAAAAGATACATGGAACAATCTAGTTACTTTGCAGCCATGTATGGAAGGATCCTTACTACTAGTTGAACAATGAACATAATAGTTAAGAGGTTAATCAATAGACTCCAAATTAAAATCCATCTCTATGACTTGAAATTGCTTTGTGATTTTCATCCTTATTTTTAAATTTTCGTATTTATAAACTAGATCTTAAAGACTAAGAGGTTTGTGCAGTTCATAAGGTAATGACAGAATGAGTTGAGCTTGAGAAGTGCTTAGCATCGTACAAGATACCATACTTTGTGGTACTTGATGAATGAGAGCTGTTACCAATATTATGATTGCTATTTGATTATTACCATGACATCAGCTGCCTCTGTTTTAGCTAAAAATTTTCCAATTATCTACGTCTAGCATTCCATTTTTGTTCCTTCTCACGTACACATTGGAGAATGCTTTTGCAGCCTCATTTTCATGTCTGAGTAGCGATCAGCTTTTACCAAAGTCAACCTCATTGGCGCCCCCAGCATCCGCTCCTGAGCTATTACACTTCTCTGGGACTTGGGAGCTTTGCTTGTTAAAGGCTAAATTACAGCCACCAGAAAGTGATGGTTCAGTCTGTACCCTTTTACCACCATAAAATGCACTCAATAAAAACAAAAGGAGCCATAGAGGAGCAGAGTTTGGGGATCATAAAGAATATATATGTTTCAGGCAGTTTGTGTTTATCCAAGTGGCAGCATTAAGTGAGGTAATGCTAAGAAAGTAGATAGCTTCAGTTAATGAGACAGATTATTTAGGAAAACAAAACTGTCACTATTGCTTGCCATGTAAAGCAGTGGATTTGTTACTTTTGAATACTGGCTGCATTAGCAAAAACATCATTTATTCATATTGAGACATCCCCCAGAGCTGCACTTTGGTTAATAAAGATAAAACCCCTATGGTGGTTGTCAAATGTTATCGTCCCATCCTGGGAACCCTTCCAACAGCAACCTAGGCACTTATTCGCTGAGAAATTTGTTTATGTGAGATGATCATTTTGTGTTTCAGAACTAGAATGGATTCTCTTAACTGACCTCTGAGGATACCTCCTGTGAAGACCTGAGATTTGCACCTGTGTGGTTTGCTGAAGCATGGAATCTAAAGGAAAGAAAAGAAAAACCTTAGTCTTAGACCCAGAGGGCAGTTACATATTTCCTTTGAGAAATTATCCAGGGTCTAATCTTCCTCTTTTCTCTTTGTAGTCAACTTCACTAGAAAATCTCCCTGATGTTTTAACCTGCCCCTTCCCAGCAAACCACATTTTAGCTACAGTCCCATCACTCTAAGCAAAACATTTTTGTTAAAACCATGGGTTCCATGTCAACAGTCCAATGAATAGTTAATTGCTCTGCTTATGTGCCATATTATAATTATTTGACACTATTGGAAGTCCTGGCTTCATTAAAAACCATAGTTCCACAAGTCATGCTGTTATGTTTACTTACTGTATATCTCTTGCCAAGTTCATTCTTCTCAAACCAGCCATTAAATACTTGAGGATAAGGATCAGTAGGAACTCAATCCTTAACCTCCTTCTACTCTCTCATCTCAGAAGAATTCATTACACCTATCACATTGCATGCCACCTATTTGCAGATCACTTACAAACTGCCCTGTGTCTCCAACTTGGTCCTCTTCTCAAAGCTCTAGACTCACTTGACTAGTTGGGCTTGTGACATTTACCAAAATATATTTCAAGGTCTTCACAAATTTACTAATTGTCCAGTCCAAGTACTGGAGTTTCCTCCTGAATGTGGAAACTCTAAAAGCGTTATATTTCTTTTTCCACAAGTCTGACACTTAACTGATACTTTGAAAATAGTCCCTCTTTATTTTATATCCAATATGTCAACATAGATGATCAATTCATTTCTTAAATATCATTTGTATCTACACACCCCTTTTCATTTTCATCCCCTAACACAGGATTTGGCATATAAGAAACTCAACATTAAATTTTGTATTACAGAATACCTATCACCCATGATCCAGTAAAAGCTTGGCCTGAGGCAAGAACTTCTGACCTGGTCTCCTCAATCCAGATTCACCCCACTAAAAATAGCTTTCTATTTTACCACTAAACTCAATGCCTTACACAAAATAAGATTATGTCTCTGCTAATTTTTATTCTGATGATCTTAATTGTCTTTATTTTTTATTCTAGAATTGGGCAACAGTTTATTCTATAAAAGGGTGTTCCAATGATATCATTCCCCTTTTCCAGGTAGAATAACTTAAAAAATTTTGATCCTTAATAACAACATAAATTACTTTTTATATATCTGTCACATTCTACACTTTGCTTTTGCTTGCTGTGACAAACCTCAGTCTGCTTTATGCCTCTTACATCCATCAGAATCTCTCAGATGTAGTGTCATCCTTGTGGCCCACTCTTGTATTCCCTCTCAACCACCTCCTAATCAATGCCTACTCATCCTTTAAATCCCAGTTCATTTTGTTTTCCTTTAGAAAAATTACAATAACCTCCCACATTCTCTAAAAATATCCTCCCATGTTCTCGAACAATACAGAATTTATATTTTTAATCTTTTATTAAGATTTCTAATTTCCTTTTATATATATATATATATATATGTATAGTAGCACAATTCATTTGGGCAGGGAAGCCCTATTAAACTTACCATTGATTCCCAGAAATGACAACGTTTGTAAGTTTGGTGATACATTTTGTAAAAATGTGACTAAGTTTATCCAATAAATGTAATGTGCATGTGTGTGTAGATATTGATAGACATGCAGATAGACATGAAAGAAAGAAAGAGAAAGTAGGGAGGAAGAAGGCCTAAAGAGAAAGCAAGTGAGAGAGAGAAATCCTTAGATTACTGCAAACAATAATAAAAAAAAAAAACATAAGAGTGAATATGTTACATCTGAGAAATGTGTGTGAAGTATATGTGAAACTTCATTGGGCAAGTCTTACAACTTTTTATAAGTCTGAAATTATGCTCAAATCAAGTTTAACAGAACACCAAATACTCTTCATTCCTATGCATTTTAGTAAATAGTCTTCTAGCCCGGATCATAGCCCAGTCACATGACCAAGGTCAGACAATTCGTAAAAAGCAGTTCTGGATGTCTCACTACACATCAATCAAAAATATAAGACATCAGTTTTCCCACTCCCCATTTTTTTCCTAAGGTAGATGCTGATAATCCATTGATTAAGGCAGGACAACACACACACTCTTAAGGTTTTCCTCAATACATCGCTCCAGGCAGGTTTAACACACATGGAAAACGTCCTTAATATCATACATTTCCTCCTATGATTCACACTGAAGCAGAAAGCCCTTGGACCCACATCTTAAAAGAAGGCTGCTTTTTAAGGGGTGGCAGAAGAAAGGTACAGAATACAATTTTGTTTTTTGAGGATAAGATTTGTGCTATGATTGAATAAATTCTGATGACGGCAAACTGAGCTCTTGCCTTGAAGTAGAATTCTTTTGGTTTGAAAGCTTGTGAACAACCCTTTTAAGTGTTCCATCTGTGGCAGCCATGACAACATGTGGCTCTCATATTTCCCTCTGATGAAACGGAGGAATCTATTAGAAGATCCTTTCACATGTAGCTTAAAGTTGTAATACAGTAGCCACAGAGAGTGATCTTTGTACCTTCCTCACTGCCATGTACTTCCTGCTCTGAACTTAGATGCTGCTTCAGGATCTCTGTTAATAAAATTCTCCAGACCATCACTACCTCTTTGAGTGGATGCTCATAAAAAAACTCAGGTGCTGTCATAGTGATTCCTTCTGCTTAAGTGAAAGTCACTGTAAAGGCATGTAGTTTTTACCATATTATTTCAGGGTTTTTTTTCAGTTAGGAGTAGGAGTAAGGTAAACAAGAATAGGAAAGTTAAGTTGGAAAAAGGAAAAACTGAAGGAAATTGCAAACTGACTGATAGGAGAGACAGACTCATGATCACAGAGACAGCATCTTTGAGATGTGCCTCCGGATCTCAAAGACATCACTTGCAAATTTTATAATAAATCATGTTATCTGCTGATAGAAAACTGTATTTGCATCTTAAAATTAGGTTCAGATATAGCCATCCTAAACCAGGGTATGTTCTTGCAGCATGTTACACTCTTAACTGATGGTAGAGATACACTGCCCAAGTAATCAAACCTTATGGGGATGTCTAACAAGTTTCTCTGTCTACCCCAATTTATGCCATATTTTGGCATGGCTCTTTCAGTGGGACAAGGGGATGATATGTTCATGTGCATTTGGACAGCTGAATGCTATTTGCATGGAACAGATTGGTCTTTTTTATGGAAATGCAGTTAATAATAGCACAAGTCTTACAGGGGATAAAACCATTTTGTTTTTATGTTATTATCATTCATGTATTAATCCTTTAAGAAGTTTGTATTCTCTAGTGCCTTGGCTCAATAGGCTAATCCTCCGCCTGCAGCGCCGGCACACCGGATTCTAGTCTTGGTCGGGGTGCCGGATCCTGTCCCGGTTGCCCCTATTCCAGTCCAGCTCTCTGCTCTGGCCCAGGAGTGCAGTGGAGGATGGCCCAAGTGCTTGGGCCCTGCACCCACATGGGAGACCAGGAGAAGCACCTGGCTCCTGGCTTCAGATAAGCGCAGTGTGCCAGCCGCGGTGGCCATTGGAGGGTGAACCAACGGCAAAGGAAGACCTTTCTCTCTGTCTCTCTCTCTCTCTCACTGTCCACTCTGCCTGTCCACAAAAAAAAAAAAAAAAAAAGTTTGTATTCTCTAGAAGCATGGAATATGCGAATTGGCAGGATGGATTTAACTACTTCATTCCAGTTTCCCAATCCACTTTCCCAAATTTCCTTCACAGGCAGTTGCAAATACTCTAGGATACATATTTCATATAATTTAGCTTTACAACTGAAATCTGTTCCAAGATGGTCAACTGCCTGAATCCCACTGAAAATGACAAGAGAGCAGAAAGTGGTGTGATGATTCACACTTTGGGATGCTCAGAGCATGCCTTCATCACTCTATGGTTTACAACTGTGGGAATGGAGGGCGACTTCTGTTCTGTGTAGGAAAACAGTCACTGATAGGGTACCACACACTTGAGGAATCATACCCCTGGTTAGGATCAACACAAAGCTGAACTGAGGAATGCATGTTGCTATTCTGATTGGCTGCCCTGTATCTGCAATGTTTTCCTCTATCTTATATTTCTTCATCTTCATGGCCAGACTGTCAGTGATACAATCTTGATGGCCATTTCTCAAATCAAACAAATGAGAATTATAGGAAAAAGTGGCTATTTCTATATTATCCCTCTACTAAGGGATGATGCAAAGTTCAAGATGACTTCAAGATGCTTTACTGTTCAGCTTATTGGACTCTAAGTTCCGATTTTCTTAGTATACCTCCAAACAACTTTAGTTTCCCTATTCCTTTGATACTCTCTCTCTTGCTCATCCTCTTCCCACATAGATGTCAGAGTACAGTACAAAGCTGGTGGTTTTATGTAAGAAGGATACCCAAAAAGTTAAGAACATGTGCTTGATACTGGAGAAGAGAACGTGGGAACTTTCTCTGGTGATCAGTGACTGCTAAGTGCACCACGATACTAGGCAGTGATGATCTACATACACCATGGATCTGGATCCATAGATTTAACTGTATCTGTGTTGAAGAGTTTCCTGAAGCATGCAAGGTCTTTATATTTTGTATTCTTCACATTACTAGCACATGACAGCTCAAAATACAAATGATATTAAAATAATTGGAGATATTTCCAATAAAGCACCAAAGCCAAGGTTTGCTATTTAAAACTCAGTATTAACTGGAGCCAAACTTTCCTTGGAAACATACAGCCTTAAATATCTATTCATTTCCATAGGAATGAAATGATGGACAGATTTAAATCTCTGTGAGCAGAATGGGCTGGGTTGTGACAGCACCTCCCTTAGGCCCAGACTCTCTCCATACTGTGGCTTCCCCAGCCTGATCACACACATCGTCTTTCCTGAGGTCCATAGCCTTTTTTTAAGTCTGCAAATTTAGATGAGGAAGAGACACCATCCTCTGGGGGTACAGCAACCAAACATCATTCTTTTAAAAAAGCACTAAAAGCTGCAGGTA